GGGGCTGTAAATAGCTGAGAGACAGGCGAAACGAAGGACCCGCATGGTGTGGTGGTGAACGCGTTACTCCCCGGAAAGGACAATAGCGCGTCCGTTCCCCACCATAGACACCTGCGGTCCAGAGTTTTGCAAATATCTCAGCAACGTTGTGGTTGTATTTCGCTTAGTACCCTGCCGCGAAATTATAGTAGGCAGAAAACAAAAAGGTATAACATTGTAAAAAGAATGCTAAGAAATTGACATTACGAAGATCATTTTTGCATATTTAGCTATAAAATAATTATTATCGAGAGTTTCATCGTTCCAAAAAAAGTTAACAACATGCTGCCAGGCCGGGGCTTTTTTGACCGATGAACAAACAAAACTCTGCGTTGAGAGATGCACCACACATTCGACTTCATCAGGCATCGTAGAGGTGGTTGAATGTGTATCTAACTAGTACAATGACTTTTGGTGGCCTACCGATGTATAGGATCACTGCTACTGTCTTTACAGACAGGTGTGGTACTAACTTCCCGAACACGCAGGATGGAAGACTTGATGATGAGCTCCTTTTATTGGAACGCAAAACAGACTTTTTGTTGTCCTTTCTCCGCGAATCCCTTGTTTGTATTGCGGTCTCGAGGGCTTTCTTCTCTCTGAATTTCACCCATTCACCGCTTTTGGGGAGACTCTTAAGCCATTCTGTGCAGAATGCTAGCAGTTTTGGACAATCCTAAATGAACAGTACGAGATTTACACGCCAAACAGAGACACATTAATCCCTCATCTCACGTAGTGTTTCCGAGCAGGCTTTTTTATTTTTCCAATGTCGTTCCATAGATCGTCATATAACTCGATCACATCCGGATCATCCATCACCTAAATTTGCTCCTTTGAGTCATTGTAATTATCATTTCTAGCAGAACTTTCACGTCTTTGTTTTTGTTTATTGGCAAGCTTGCAAGAGACCGTCACAAAGCTTTATTGTGGCCAACGTTTTGCGCCGATCGCTCTTTCCACAGGGTGGATGATTTGAGAGGAGCCGTTGTGTCTCGTGACACAAATCTTTGTAGTAGCATCGAATTGAACCAATTACATCAGCAACGAAGAAATTCATCTTCTTCAGAGCCGCAAGGAAGTCGAGTCAAAAACGAATCCGCCGAAATTTTAGCAACAATAAAATAAATATTCAGATATTACTTGAGAAGCAGTGAACTGCGAAATTTTTTGCTATCATCCTAACTGATGAAGTTACTTCGAACCAGGAATAAGGTTAAAAGTTTAGCTCCTGCAATTATGTTTTACTGCCTATGAAGAATTTACCAACCGAAATCAAAGTTGAAAGATTTTGACCGTATGTGTGGAAATACTTTTTCTCACCGAAATCTTATGCGCGAATTTTTATGCTACAAAATTGAGTTCTTGATCATGTTTCGTTGACACCCACAAACGAATATCTCACACTGCTCCAACTCTTTGTTTCTAGATCGGTAAATGAAAATATTGTAGCTCCAGAGCTGACCACTAGGTTTTGGTGAAGACCGAATAAAGAATGCACGGCTTCGTGCTTCCCATTTTGACGACACCATTCTTCCCACCTCAACGCAGCGTACTCCACTAAAAACAACGATCTCCGTAAGCAATATGAAAGGGCGGTTGTCGAACACACTATCAGCGCGCTGAAGTTCGGGTTGATCTGTATTACACAACTGAGGAAAGCAATTCTAAGTTCAGACCTGCGATAGAAGACTGGGGATGCTTCTAAAGATCCGAATGTCGAAAATCAGGTCAACGGGATTAGTGTCTGGACTGCAGAAAAACAACTAGTGTACGCTGAGTTCCATGCAAATGTACAAAGCATACAAAAAAAAGACTATCGAGATATATCACATTATTCACGAAGATCCTAGAAGAATAGGCAAATCTGCTATGGAAAGGCGTAAATTGTGTATTCTGTATAGACCAGTTCTAGTCATCCGATCACACAAGTTGTGCAAGCAGAGGGACCTAGAGCTGGAATCTGTTGCAGATAGGCCCCATTTTATATCAACCAATCAATCTGATGTGATCAGACCGCTACTTAATTCTCTTTGTTTTCTTAAGTTGTAACGGTTTTTATATTTAGCTCTAAACTATGGAAGCGTTTTCTAACAGAAGGAATATTTGAGTTGCAGTTCACCAAGGTTAGCAGGATGCTAACTCTGAAAAACCAACCCTTGTTAAGCCATCGGCTCTCGTAAAGGCATAAAAAAATTATCGTTAGTCTCAAAAAATAGCAGAAATACTCCACGATAAACTACCTTCATTTCAATGATAGCCTTCCATACTTTCGTCTTCGTTGAAACGGTACTCCTAGTGGCCCATCCCGCCTGAGAAATCAAGCCCAAAGCCCCCTGAAAATAGTTCGCTCTTCTTCACCTCCAAAAAAGCCAGAAATGTGTTGAGTATAAAACTTTCGTCAGAAGAATTCACAGCAATAATTACAAAATTTCGACTGTGCCGACTTCCTCTACGAATTCCCGTGTTCGACAAGAAGAAGACTTGTTTTCGACATTCATCGCCTGTCAAACTCAAGTAGAAAAGTATAGAGCCGAGCATTCAGTGGAATGTGGCTGATTTATTGCTGATGAAGCCCGCAACTTCTCTGGCTTTCTATGAACATTTCGAAAAGCATTAGAAGCTCTGTGATGCTGTTGCTGAGTCAGAAGCAATGCCGTCACATTAAGATCAGCAGAAATTGGTGAGCAAAGAACCAAACTACAGGAATTTCCTTCATATGAGCTGCCAATCCTTTTTAAGCTTACACGATATTGTTAAGACGTGTTTTAGTTTCCAATGGCTTGCAACTTTGACGGGCACATTTTTTGAGAATAGTTTAACCAAGAGTTTTGACTTGTCTTACCTTGAGTTGCTCCTTTGTGCTTTCTGGGTTTGTTAGCACCGGTAAAATATCGTCTACAATGGACTCTCGCGCAATTGAATACTCTTTGAAGAGTTCCGCCAGCACGGAGAGTGTTTCACTTCGTACCTAGAATTACTGGATTAGAAAAATAATTGCGAACATAAATACAGCCATAACCGACTTCGGAGTAGTCGTTGATGGTGAGCCGAGCAAGTATGCGAAAAACTTTCAGATGAAATGACGTGAACAACGCAGTCGGGCTCTCGACAACATTTCTCTAAAGAAAAGTCTATAAATTAAATGCAAATATAGAGCTAGAAGATGAACCATGAACCATTTTGAGCTGAAATTTAGGTTAAAGACAGGTTGCAAAATAATGGTGTAAGAAAGCAGATTTTCCTACATTAGTTGAAAAAGTGGCGGTATAAAGAAAGAAAGGAATTGTGTCGAAGTGCTATAATAATTCGAACGACTCTGCTTTAAAGCTCCGGCATGTCACACCTACGTGGTTTTCCATAAGGATTGAAACATTGGTGAATTTTCTCTCTGGGGTTACAGATTTTTTTTGAACGCGACGTATATACCGAGCAGAATATCATGTGGTAGAAAACATCTTACATTAATCAATTCTTTAGTGAAAGACGACTTTCAGGCCTAAATTATCGCGATTTCAATGATTTCTGAGCAATGATAGTAAACAACACTAGACATGCATTGGATGCAATACATTAAATGTGGGACTAGTCATCGCTTTAAAAAAATTTGCACAGACAAATCGCAGCTCATCTTATGCCTTACTAGTTGGAGCAAAACCTGTACGAATCGGGTGATCTTTTGTACAAGAGACAAGTTATCTTATTTTAGCAAAGTAAAGTTCTCGTTTTCTAGGTACCATGAGATTAAGCAACTGAACAAATATAATCTCGTTAAACAGGGTAAGATGATGATCCCAATGAATAGCTTATTTTGGCTGTCGACTTTGCGCTGAAAATGAAATTTCAAAAAAAATTTCTAATAAAGGGCATGCGTACGATCGAGGCGATAGAGCAGACTCTCTTCTCTGAAAAACGAGCTTGCTCTCAAGTCTTTAAATATTGTCAGTAATCGAGAAACCATCATCAGTTGTTGCCAGACCAGCGGCGGATGCTATATATGTTAGCCACCAATTATCTAATTAGCTGACATATTACCATATGAGCAACATAAGCCTGTGATTCCAGCACGAAGATTTGCCATTTCTTTGAAATTGGTGTGGTAAGATAGGCATAAATGTCGCTGTGTTCACCAACGGCAATGTCCAGTTCGTTCTAAAACTATTTCATTTGGATACAACAAGCCAACGGCGAACAGAATTAGGTTAGTTAGGCGTTAAATTTAATAGCAAAACGAATCGCTCATGAAACACACGACCCAATAAACCGCATAAGACGTTAAAAGTGAAGCGGAAAGTGCTCGTAGCAAGCGAAGTCACCTAGCACTGTACTGATAATGATGTGCCGTATTAGGTTGCTCGCTATGCACACTAACGTTTGTGTCTTTATGGCCGATATATCTTCGCTACCCCAACCAAGTGATACGACAGTCACTCAGTGTCGATGGAGCACAGTAACCCCGCTTTAGGATCTCATAAGTAGCTCGGTGATCTTCAGGAGATCTCTACACGAACACTTTTAGACAAATTGTCTAAAAAACGTTACGCTAGTGATGAGATTCTAGTCGAAGCCTAACACTGTTACCAAGCGCACGTGTGATTAGCTCTGTTATCTCCGCAGTTGACTTAACTCTGCTTGATTCCTTTAACTTTCATAGTTTGAAAAACAAATAGTCACCGAATCAGTGCGACTTGTGCGTATGACATTGTACAGGATTCTACTAATGTTGCTCAACACTTGACTATGTTCTCTTTTCGATGAGACCAGTCGTTCTATGACATTTTCCAATGTTTCAACAAGTTCTTCGCGGAAATTCCTGCCGGACGAAGATCGAATATCTTAAAAAAATGTGAACTACATCCCTATTCTTTCCATAAATTCTAATTTGCTTTCATTCTTTCGTGCATACAAGGTGAAAGGTATTACATGTATTCCTGCGTAATCTCTACATCCACTACTTCATACCAAGTTTTCTGTTGCTTATAAACTGAAACTATTGAAATTCCCGACGAAAACTTGGTAAGGATGGTTTTCCTTTGATCTTTAATAGAAATCCAAGTGCACTACCTACGTTATTTTCTCATGTCAAGTTAAACTTCGTGGTGTTCAGAGTGAGCCTCGACTTCTTCACAAGCTCTAGGGGTTATGCGTGGCATACTAGATCGACTGTTTTGTTAACATATGAGTAAAATCTCAGATCGACGTTCTATGCATGAAAGCTCCTCCATGGAACGGCCATTGTAAATCAAACATTGTATTAATAATCTCGAGTCGTTTTCTTAAGAGTATAGGAATAACAAAAAAATTAGTTGTACCTTTATCCTGCAACCCCGTGTAGCGCAGTAGTCCAGGGTTAGAGAGCTGTGTTGAATTTCACATGGTTTCGAACCCGCGCCTCAGACTCACCAAGCCTTCCATCCCTCCGGGATCGGCAAATTGGTGCTACACCTGTCTTGAAAAACAGAACGGCTGACTTAATACATCGGTATGCCACCTCGAGTAGAAGGTGGAAGTGTAGACCAAATGCCCATTCAATCACATCTAACGATGCTTGATGAAGTTGAATGCATGGCGCATCCGTCTGGGATTAATCAACGCTGTGAGCTTTGTCCTTTATCCTTTCCACTATTTTTATTGGTAAACAAAAACGAAGTTGCTTTTACAGCACCTATTGACTCACAATATTTGAGGTTTCGACGATACTACCTTCTTCCGAACTCGGAAAGGTTAAATTGACGTGCAATCTACCCAGACAAAATTCACTATCCTCGTACAGGAATCTAGAACATCAGCGCGGAAAACTCTTGGAAGGCTTTCGCTGAGTTCCAGAAATCCAAAAATAACCAGCGAGGAGTGCCTTGTGATCACATACCACGCGCCATACCACAGGCTGGCTTTTTGACCTAAGCTAAGCACATTGCTCCCCATATATATCTCTGTGTGGACGGTCCCCCAAATGATTGGAAGAGTTACAAAGAATAAAACGGTAAGGGTTTATTTTGTATTTATAATGCTGAGGTTATAAAAATGTTTGACTGAATAGATTCTATGTCAATTTGACATTTCCAGGCTCTGCAGAATGCAAAATTCGCCGAAACCTTAGCTGTTGTGCAGTAATAAATCCTGTGGTAACGACGTCCTGTTTGCTCGGAAAGAACAGCAGTGATCAACGTCGAGGTTGAAAGGAAGTCAGTCCTCTATCATTTTATTCATCCAAGACAAAGCGTGTGTAGCGCTGTGGTTAAAGTGCAATGCAGTACACAGTGGATCGACCGCTGGCTCGAACCAGCGCTCTGGGCTCATTAAGCCTTTCAAACCTTCAGAATCGGTGAAAACCAAATATCTCTGGGGTAGATGGCAGCACTGATTTGATATAGCGGTAGGCCACCGTATGTAGGCCAGGTATACATTCAGTCATTCCTAAGGTGTTTAATGAAACCAAATGCGTGACGCACCCCACAGGTATTGGTAAATGCTGGGCGCTTTATCCTTTATTATTCTATCGCGGAAGAGCACTTTAGTCATCGGTAAAGTGTCCATTCGAGAAACTCGCGTGAACATCGATTTAAGACATCGTACTGAGAAGTGTATAGCACGTGCCTATGGGTCAAGTTGGAATGGTAACATGAAGCGATCAAAATGCATGCGAAACATGCAGTTGAGTTAAACACACTGATCAGGACACGTCCGCTACAGGAAGACGTACCCCATTGAACAGCTGACGGGTTGACAGAGTTCGTGTTGTACCAAGGCAGCATTGTGTTCGACGACGTGAAGATTGTTGATGACGGCATTGCAAAGCACGTCGCCGCCCCGCTGAACCCGTAATTTAAAATAGTGATTGCTTTCTTCAGTGATTCCCGTGATTCTCTGGAATAAATACATACTTAGAAAAGTATACAAGAATAATTCTTATAGGCTGTTTAGTGGCTCTTCACAGCACTGTGCTTCCCTATAACTATTCGAATGGAATGGTAAATTTTAAAATTAACGGAGGACATAATTGCTAAGAGTATTACCGCCCGGGCCAATGCAGAGGTATCATGACTATACGGCTCCTGAATAACAGAATGTCAAGTTCCTGTTCAATTTTACAAGCAACTACCTGTCCATGTCCTTGTTCTTCAGCGACTCAATTGTAGGGAAGAGAAATTTGGTGAGAAGTGCTTCCACTAGCTCCTTTGACTTCTCATTGGGTACATGCCAAGCCATTTTTGTTTCACGGAAATTGTACACCTTCGACCACTCCTGATTAGAACCGAAGTTATTGTGGTTTAACCTAGTTGAATTAGGTGAACATTCATATATGAAGAGTTCTACAAAATAGTCACTGAATTCACTTCAAAGCAATTCGTATCCTATGAATCAAAGGTCCATGTAAAATTTATACACCTCTAGGATGTGAAAGGTTGTCAAAAAATGTACAAGCATGGAAAACGCATAAACAATTTAGCACGCCGGGTGAAGCTAACGTTCCTACTCCAATTTATCCAAAGCCTGCACATTACATAAAAATCATGTGGTTGCGCTAAAAATTCTAAGATTTGCCAGTTGAAGGCGTTCCAATTATTCCTGGATTTTCATCACCAGTGACTCTTGTCGGAAAACCTCACCAACGTGCAGAATGGTGAGCTTAGAGGTCCAACCTCACAAATAGACAAGTAATTTTAATAATTGATCAATAATATAGTTGGGTAGAACAACCTAAGAACGTCATACGAAACAATTGACGATTGGTATTTCATACTTCCGAGTGCTAGGCAATGGTGGCGGAGCTGTGATTGGATGCAGTCGCGCAAAGGAATTCGTAAATATACTGGAGTTTTGTTCCTGCGTTTTGCCGATTTCCTTAGTTTTCCACACCAGGCTCACTTGTCGGAGTTATTCCCATCAACATGAGAGCCACTGATTTATTACTTAAGTGTTAATTTGGTAGAACCTCTTGCATGAATGTATTTATCATCGTTGGATTATTTTTGCAACATTCCAAACGTCAGGAGTGCAACCAACACAAAATGATGCGTCAGAAGGACGTGGAGAAAAACTTTAAAGTGGATGACGCCTATGTCTCTGAAAAATTGAATTCTTCAAGAGGCAGTCATTTCTCAACAAGAAGAACATTCATCATAAACGTCGAACAAGCAAAATACGATCAGAATCGCATTGAAGAAGGAAGAACGAACTCACCCGAATCGGCACCCATTCGCTAAGGGGCCGATTGAGTCGTTCCGCCACATAACGTGAGTTTTCTGGGTAGATACGCGATAACATGTGCAGCATATACCAGAGGCCATTGCAGCCACTCTAAAATCAAACAAATTCCACTGAGAACTTCCTCCACTCAGCTGCAGATTAAACTCGAAGACTAAAACACCTACAGAATAAGCAACTTTATTCCTGCAATCCAGTAGTAGTTTGATCATCTCAAAGCAAATTTCCTTGTTACAGATGTAATTCTAAAATGGTAGAGGCTCGTTATAGAAGAATGCGAAAGACACGTGCAACAAAAGAGAATACAATGTATGTGTACTGGTCGATCAACGACCAATACCTCAGTTGTACTGCAACGTGTGTTAGTATTGGCAGTACCTCGCTTGTAGTGGACAGCAGTGATCCGGCCAACGTGACAAACCACTGAGTGGACGTTCCTAAGTCTTCAGCATTCTTCACCTCAGCTAAAGAACGAGGTCTCAACAAAGACGCAGGTATTAGAGATTTTTAAGAAATATTTTTGAGAACAGTTGAAGAAAACACATTAGAAAACCGACCGTTTTGCATGAGTACCAGAAGAGGTCAGCTATTTCGCCTAAGTTTCCCCATTATCTCAAAGTCTCTAGATGTCTAACATCTCTATTCTCTAATGCTAGTTACTGTACTGTTTCCGTTAGATATTTATAAAGTGGCGTTAACTATAACTATCCGACGCACTTCATTGCTTGAAATTCTTGAGCTTGTGAGAGGTTCTGAGACGCTTTCAATATTAATCTTTCCTTGTCTATATGTAACAATGAATAACGTTATATCGAAACACAGATGGGGCGGTCACACAATGGGAATAACGGACGACAGATTGACGAAAAAAACTGTATAATGGACTCCATGAGAATACAAACGTTCCTTGGACGGCCACCTACACTTTGGACGGACGTGTTCGTAACCAAAATTAATCGGCTGTACTAGCAGCTGCAGTTGTTTTACAGATCACGGCATGAGGCTCGCACGCACCACCATGCTTGAATAAAGCCACCACGATGGTCGACGATTGCATGGGAGAGAAACGAATGCCAAATGGGCTGGGGTAGGCACGACTGGTGAAGACGGACTATCCAAGCTTCCAAGTAAGTAACGAATAACGTTTCATCGTAGGAATTTACCCCAAACATTGATAGTGGCCAGATACGGAAAAAGGTTCTGTTGTTTTGTTAATGAAATTCTAAAGAAATTATCTATCATCAGCCCTTTCTATCCAAAAGCGAAGTGGCAGAATTTATCTAAACTGCTCTTAGGTAACTGGACACTCACGAGTCAGCAACTCTCGAAGGTTTCGCAGCACATGGTCGGCGAATGGAAGCCAAAATGACGGTGAGGCCTGCAGTTCACAAAATAGATGAAACATGTATTCATAAATATAGCTACAAGAGAAAAAAAATTATGCTTTCTGAAGAATCCAACAGACACTGCTTTTAGAAAAAGAACTTCTATCTATTTATTTTGTTGTTGCGCTTCATTCGCTTTACTCTAATAGTTCGAATCTTATTTCATCCGGCAGTCGCTGGATAGCCGTCCATTTGAGCAAACGACAAAACATTCGTCGTCACGTCGGCCAGCTTCGGAGCACATTTCATGATTGATAAGAAGATATTGTTGTGAATTCTACGCACGCACATCAATCGAAAGGGCGCATGTGGAGCAGTGGTTGGAGGCGCCCTGCCACACACACGTGGAATCGATTTCTGCGCCCATGGTCGACAAGCCTTCCATCCCTTCGGGGTCGGAAAATTGGTACCAGACCTCTCTGGGAGGATAGCAGCACTGGCTCGATACATCGGTATACCACCGTGAGTCACTGTAAAGGCCAGATATGCATTCAATCACCTCCAAATGATGCATAACGAAGTCGAATGGATGGCGCATCCCTCAGATATTGATTAACGCCGAGAGCTTTGTCCTTTTTACATCAATCGATTAAGGTGTGTCGCTTCTTTTCACAACGAAGATGACACTACTGACGCTATCATTGTTCAGATTGAGTAAGGATGTCATTTCAACGTTAATTTCCTCGACGCATTTTTTCCACAAAGCTTTAACACAGTTCAGAACTCACATAAGTCATTTGCGAAATCAACGAGGAAATCATATCAGTAGCGAGTTGACTCTCAAATTGATTGGTTTTCATGAAATTGAACACCTTCTTTGCCATTTTCTGCAACAAATTATCATTTATGCTTCAATAAAATCTACCTCGTTTGATCACTGAAGAAGCATGTAAGATTCTTATGAAATCGCAGAAGACATTCATATTGCACCCAAACTACATTGGAGGAATCTGCAAACATCGAACTACCGTGAAAACACCAAAGAGATTTTGAAATTCGTCATGCAAGGTTGTAAGCCAAGGAGACCGATCGCATCCGATTGCAAGAATGACTATTCCGCATTATCACACTCGTCGCCTGGTCAAGATTGGACGGTGCAGCCGTGATTTGAGCAAATAGCGCAAGCCGGTGCTATCACTGTCGGTCTACACCGAACAATGTTTACATTTAGCAGAAAGGTGCCGCAGTGAAACGGCATCTTCGTGGCTCAATTTCACTCAGTCTCACGTGCAAGCTAAAGCACATAAAGACTTGCGGCATTGTTCTACAACTTCAGCTGGCGATGCTACCGAACAAAAAAAAATCAGCTTGGAAAGCCAACAGAACGTGGTACATAGTGATTTCTGCGTCCAAAGTTTCTGAAGGCACAAGTCCTATACCTCTGCATTATTATTAACACTAATGGTTCTCATACCATTAAGAACCTAAAGATACAAACTTTGGGTGGCATCTGAGTTGTTTTCGGATTCCGTTTTCTACTTTCATTGGCCTTTCGAATGAGACTGATGCATCAAAGAGTATGGAGTCGAACCTACTTACTGATAGTGCACATCAATTCAAAACTCTGACCAAAACTATTTCATCGACGCTGACCGCGCTATTTTACCACGGTGTCAAGAAATCTCACCGACTCTCGCATTTGACTTACGGAATCATCTCAGAAACCACATTGTATCAGCGACAATAATGAATACATGCCTGAATCGGCTTGACGAACATCGACGATTTTAAAGCTCTCTGCCAAAGTGCTGCGTACCCAATTATGACTCCGGATATCGAACTACAACGACTCTGCCGTATAACTTTCTGTAGTGATAGAATGTTTGTCACCATCCTCTGAGTAAGCGGAGAGTACCAGATGAACCCACAAGATCTATGAAACTGATCTATGAAACTTACCGAAGTTATGGATGCTGCTGTGTTAGTAAACAACGCTGCTACGCATCGATCGATTCCTTTCTTCAGTACTTTCTCTTCCACACTTTCTTTCGTTGCTTCATCCTTAACAACCTATCTACGCTCGTAGCAATATTTTCCCTTAGAATTGTTTTCCGCAAGCGATACCTTGAAACTTCCCAACTGTGATGAAGAGTCTTTCGGCGAGGTGATAGAGAGACTTTGAATGACTTCTAACATCCTGAGTGAACTTCACACATAATGAGTGGTAAAAGACTAGATATATTAGTGATCAATCTTCCTATGAGGTGTTGTTCATGTTCATGTTTCACACAAAATTTCTTTCACACCTACCCAAACGGGTAAAAGAAAACAGAATTTGTTCCATGCTGCGCAATCTCTCGCATATTTCACAAATTCTATCGAAGAATTATCCAGCCCTACTCCAGATTTTTTTTCCCTAACGGTGCTATCAGCAATTAGCTGCCAGCGGGAAGGTTGCTTCTAGCGTTCCTTTAATCGTGAGCGAACTTTTCACCATATTTCATAGGAACGGAGATTTTATGCGACCTTAGGCCAAACAAATCCGTCGACTTGATTAAAAGAATGGTTGTATAAAAAGCACAAACCGATCTAGTGCCAGTTCGGCCAGCAACGGCAATCTTGCCGACATCAGGCAAAGAGATTTCTCATCAGCCGTGAGATCCTTGTGATATTTAACACACTCCGAATAATCGAGAATTGGCATAATATAGAATATTAGGGTTAGGTTCTAAAAATCTACGTATATGAAGCGAGGTGAAAAATACATTGTCAAATAAAGCTGGTAGTGGGAGAGAAGCCAAAAAATCTATCTTTTCTCTCAGTGAATGTTAAGTGTTATAGTTTGAGCTCGATGCAGATATTGACAACAAGATTTCAAATCGTCGTATTATGTGAAACAGATGTAGTCCTTGAGGCTACGACTTTAGCTCGATTCTATAATTAATTAGAATATTGAGTAATTAAGTAACATCGATTCATTCGAACAACTTACAACCCGAATCGGACGTTTACGATTAAGAACACGTGGATCAATTCCGGCTTTGACAATCTTCGTCGTTTACGCACTGACATCAAACTATGACGAAGAAGAAGTCGAAGAGTTCTATATGGACTTGGAGAAGTTTTGCAGAAAAGACCACACATTCTTCAAGGTCATCATTGGAGATTTCAACGCCAAGTTTGGGCGAAGAAGAACGTCTGAAGAACGTCACATTGGGACCCATGGATTAGAATGGAACGAACAGGGTGAGCGGCTATCTGAGTTTATCATGACGACCAAAACAATCCATGGTAACTCACAATTCCAGAAGCCCCACCCTCGGCGCTGGACGTGGAAGTCTCCCAATAGAGAGTACCGCAATGAAACAGACCACATCATAGTAAATAGAAGGTTTTGCCTAACCGAAGTCGCGGTTGTCCCAAAATTCTACACGGGATCACGACGCCATGTCTTTCGTGCAAGATTCTATTTTTCGCGGAAAGGAGAAAAAGCCGCTTAATCCCAAAACGGAAGTCCCAGAACTACCGTAAACTGGGACTTATTCAATTTATTAGTCGGCTGTTGGGAAGATGCCGTTCTCGATAACGTCGACGAAGAATACGATCTCATTGAACATATTCACGCTAGCGCTATGAAAGCTCAGAGTTCGAAAGTCACCAAAGTCACCACGAAACGTCTGTCTCCAGAAACAATCGAGCTGATTCGCCAGCGTGGAATCGCACGAGCTGCAGGCAACCGCGAAATAACGTCCGAACTTGCAAAGCAATGCAGAGAGGCGATGAAAGAAGATCTTAGAGAGAGAAGAGCAAAAGTAATGGCCGAAGCTGCAGGGGGTCGGAAAAGCATTCGCAAAGCCCACCGAAGCTTCCAATTACAGGACCGAAATAATTGCACTCCGGCGTCCAGACAAAACAGTTACAGTGTCCAGAAAGGCAATGGAGAAAATCATTCACGAATACTTCTCGGATCTCTTCGATAGCCACGTCCAATTTCCGTCATATGAAATAAAGGAGGATGTTATGTTGTACCACCGCGTCTCCCTTCCGAAATCCGACATGTTATTTCGTCGGAGAAAGAACGGACAGCACCAGGTCCAAACACGATAAAACCAGAACACCTGAAGAATCTTCCGCCAGTCCTCGCAAGCACACTGGCTCGGCTCTTCACACGTTACCTGTTTGAACGCAAGTTCCCTACTCAGTGGAAGACCAGCAAGACCGTGTTATTGTTCAAGAAGGGTGACCTACACGATATCAGCAACTATCGCCCAATCTGCTTGCTGCCTGCCGTTTACAGACATTTCACTTGAGTCATGCTAAACAGGATTGAGAACACTAGACGAAGGACAGCAATGTGAGCAAGCAGGGTTTCGAAGAGGATTTAGCACGATGGACCACATCCACACGGTAACACGGCTCATTGAAGCATGGAGCACTCTGAAGCACAAAATCCCGCTCTGTCTCACTTTCATGGATTTACAAAAGGCCTTTGATTCAGTTGAGATAGAAGCAGTCTTGGAAGCCCTTTATAGTTAAGGAGTCCTTACTCAGTACATAAAGATTCCAAAAATTTCACAACCAAGATATCACCATTCTACAGCGATATTAACCCTAACGCCAAAATAGGAGTTAGACAAGGCGATACCGTCTCGCCAAAACTATTTGCCGCCACCTTGCAGAACGTCATGCCAACATTGGAATGGAATAATATGGGAGTGAAAATCGACGGTCGACAGTTACACCATCTTCGTTTTGCTGATGACATCGTCCTTATAACACCAAACATTAGCCAAGCGGAAGGTATGCTTGACGACTTTTACAAAGCCTGTGGAAAGATTGGTCTTAGACTAAATTTCACCAAAACGATGTTTATGAAGAACGGATTTGTTTCGCATGCTCCATTCACGCTCAACGGAAAAAATATCTCCGATTGCTCCAGTTATATCTACCTAGGTCGGGAAATCAATATGATGAACGACCTAGCTCCAGTGCTGAGCAGAAGAAAACGAGCGGCTTGGGGAGCTTTCAAGAGCATCGAGGATGTAGTGAAGAGAACAAAGAACACCCGACTCCGTGCCCATCTTTTCGACTCAACGGTTACTTCCTGCCTTAACGTATGCGTCAGAAACCTGGTCGCTGATTAAGCAGGATGAAAGGTCACTCAACGTTATCGAACGCGCAGTCGAAAGGATGATGCTAGGAGTATCCCGTTGCACACAAATAAGGGATGGGATCTGAAGCTCCGATCTGCATCAACGATGAAAAATCAAAGATGCCGTTCTGTACGCCAAACAGTCGAAGATAAGGTGGGCTGCGCACGTAATGCGTATAAATGACACCGATGGACAGGAGCCGTTAGTGACTGGATTCCTCGGGATGTCAAACGTACTGCGGGAAGACCACCGACCCGATAGTCTGAGTTTTTCACAAAGAGCCTTAAAGAAAGATATGATACTCGACGAGTCCCTAGAGCAAGCAAAACCCACTGGGCTACTCTTGTACGCGACAGGGAAAAATGGAAGATTTACTGGCGCCCTCTCGAGTCACTCGACGATCAACGGGTTTAGAGGTGATAGAGGTGATACAGGTGATTGAGTAATTTGGTGATTTCATGGTGAATTAAATGCATATTGAGTTACTCTGGATTGATTCACTTATAGAGTTGACTGCTGTGCGTCTTTTGTGGACGGTTCCTCTCGACGTCTTCTCGTTTGTGAAATGGATAAAGGATAAAGCACTCGGCGTTGAATAATCCCTAAGGGATGCGCCATGCATTCTACTTCACTAGGTATCGTTGGAGGTGATTGAATGCATATCTAACCTTTACAATGAGTCGTGGTGGCTTAACGATATATCGAGCGAGTGATTCTATCCTCCCAGACAAGTCTGGTACCAGTTTGCCGACACCGGAGGGATGGAATAGTTGGTGAACCACGGACGCGGGGATCGATCCCATGTGTGTGACGCAGGGCACCTCTGACAACTGCGTCACACGTGCCCTGCTCATTTATATCGTCAGAAATCATACTATCAAAGGAAAATACTTCCACTGACATGAATAGAGATGTTTGCCTTCGACACATCGTTGATGTCGATCCCGCTTATGAGAATTTCGATAAAATAAAATAGATGGAATCGGAAAGTGGTAAAGTTTTCTTCCAGCTTCCATTTGTACTCGGCTGACAACTTTTGCAGGGAGTAACGTAGCAAAGGTGAATATGGTGGTCGTTGCTAAAAAGAAATGTTGACTTGAATGAAGGGTATAACTGGATGTCAACTACTTGGATGCTACTCAAGTTTGGCCGAATAAAAGTCCTCATCACTACTTCGTAAAAGGAAACAAAAATGACATGATCTAGGTCGACGTTTTCCCAGCCCTTCATACTAATTACGTAAGCCAGTGTCAACGGTTCCACCTATTCTCCATGACTTACTCTCTCTATTTCATTCACCAAGTCTTTTTCTGTTTTTCGTTGTTCGGTGCTGACATCCTGATTGCAGGCAATGATGTATATCAACTCGAACATGCAGTCCAACGTCTGCGTGAGCCGATGAGGTTCACACACAGCGAATATCGCCGGATAAACACTGGAAACTAATGATCTAGCGTTATTGTGATATGGAAGCTTTTAAGATTTGTTTTATCAAAAGTTTTTTTGGGTTTTAAAGGTTTAGGTTGCCCTGATGGTTTATCGCCTCATGGCTGAAGGTGCTCCAGTGCATCGAAATACGAGCCGAAACGGGAGTTTTTGTCTCAACAGCGTCTCTTAAGCTACTAAAAGTGTTCGACATTTATATTCGAATATCCACCTAGGAGTAAACCATTGTCATAAATCATTGTTGTACTGGGAGCAATCGATTTACAAGTGGATATTTTTGTACAATCAATAACACTAGAAATTGCTGTAATAATTAGCAGTGAACGCCCTTTGCCCACACTAGAAGGGCCTCGGGTTTAGTACTTAATATTAAAAGTTAAAGCTCAAGGCTATTTTTCAAGGCTAAGGTTACAACCACAACGTTGCTGAGATATTTGCAAAACTCTGGACCGCAGGTGTCTATGGTGGGGAACGATCAACCCCGCTGACGGGTGATTGCTGTGGCAAAAAGATCGATAGAAATAGCTGAGAGACAAGCGAAACGAAGGGCCCGCATGGTGTGGTGGTGAACGCGTTACTTCCCGGAAAGGATAATAGCGCGTTCGTTCCCCACCATAGACACCTGCGGTCCAGAGTTTTGCAAATATCTCAGCAACGTTGTGGTTGTATTTCGCTTAGTAACCTGCTATGAAAATTATAGAAGGCAGAAAACAAAACGTTAAACGTTAAGGTTATTAATCTTTCGAATGTTAAAGCAACTGAATGAACTACCAATAGCGGTATACACATGCTTACTTTTCTAGAAAACGCGGCAGTACGAGTCCAGGCTGCAGAACACCCAACATCATGAGCAGTTTTGCAGGAAGCTAGAAAAATATTCTTCACGAGCTCTTGACCCAGTGACAGAGTTTCAAAACGTACATCGCCGTTTTTTCCGTCTTTTGAGTACAATGAGTAGAGGAGCGATTGTATTGTCGCCTCGACGAATAGCTTTGTATCGGTGTCAGTTAGATAGAACTGTTTTGGTACCTTAAGCCTCTTTATTATGTTAAAGTCAAGAAGCATGAAAACGAAAATTATTATTGAAAATGATACAAAGTCTGTGGCTCATACTTTTCGCCGATGCTTCTTTATTCGCTCGTCTTCATAGCGGGAGAGGAATTCACTGATTAGGCATTGGAGGAACACCAATACCATTGGTGTATGGTCGCTCTCGTTTGATGGGTGCATGAACGGTTGAATTGTCTTCATCATTTTTTCAAGGTGTCGCTGGCAGCTAAACCATGCAAGTCTTGTTCAAAAATTACTACCCTATGGTAATACACTTCATGAAGAAGACGTGGACTGTAATTTTTTATTCACTGCCTAGTCTTTTCATGGCAGTACAATGTGAAGTATACCCACAATGGTGCTGAGATATTTACAAAGCTCCAGACCGCAGGTGTTTGTGGTGGAGAACGAACTCGTTAGTGCCGCTTCCGGGGCTAACGCCTTCACCACCAGTCATGTTTTATATATAACGGATAAGAGATAAAGCTTTCGGCGCTGATCAATCCTTGAAGGATGCGCCATGCATTCAACTTCGCTAAGCATCGCTGGAGGTGATTGAATGCATATCTGAAATCATTCACGGTTGCTACCGATCCATTGCTGCTTTCCTCGCAGACAAGTCTGGTACCAATTCGCCGACCCCGGAGTGATGGAACGCTTGGTGGGCCAGGGGCACGAGAATCGATATCATGTGAATTGCAGGACGCTTCCGACCACTGCGCCCCACATACATGCGCCCTTGTGTTTTATACAGATGAGAGAAGGGCGAAACAAAGGACTCTCATGGCATGGTGGCGAACGCGTTAGCCCCCGAAAAGGGTACTAGCGAGTTCGATTCCCACCGCAAGCACCAATGGCCCGGAGTTTGCAAATATCTCAGCATCATCGTGGGTATATTTCACATGGAGTGTATTTAAAACTCTGTTCTGTCCTTTCTTCTGCATAGGGCATCTGTAGTAGCCGGTACTACTTTCTCGTTAATGCTGACTAGTTTATGAAATACCACATAATAGTTTATCACCGTGAACTTCTACAGACATATCGTTATCTTCTTGTCGGTCTTTATTCCTACTTCGCACCTTTTGACTCCTTTGATCATATTAGTCTCTGCCTATTAGCCCTGTACCCACACCTATTTTCTCCACGTTATAAATGAAGCGCCTAGATCTTCATTTCTTTTTTTTCATCATGGCTGACCAGCGAGGAACATGTAGAATTCCCTCTATATTGAGAACACAAATATGGAGCTAACCTATATGGACCACCAATTGTTGATGAAACGAATCGTGCGAAGCCATCCAAACTCGATGAACCAGAACCATCACCAACCGGAAATGATATGCTTTGCTTAGTGATTCGATTCAATTGCCTTTGTATTTTTTATATCTGAACGTGAAGCTATTTCCTACCGCAATTTTTCCTTCTCTCAGACACAGACCCATAGCCCGGATGATATGAGTGAACATGGTGTCGTACAGTGGAGTCCAATCCATAAAATCTGGGTTATGGTACACCAATCTACAATACCATATGAAATAATTTCCTCACATTTAAAAACCACCAAAGCCGATTGGTTATCGCGGTCTTAATGTCATGATTCGAAGCTTTAATTTCAGTATGTGACAATCGTACGAGCTCTCTCTGGCAAACTTTCAACATGTACGACCAGCTGAAGTCTCATCAACTTGATCCATATTACTGAATTGTGAAAAATAACATACCCCTATAGTACCAGCTCCTCAATTTTACAGGCTGTTTTTGTCGACTGTTGTGACATTTCATCCGAAAAATTTACGCTTTTTTCAAATTCACTAGGGCTTAGTTTTATTGACGCCAGTCGAAACCCCCTATGGATCTCCCTCAGAGACTGATCTCCTGCTGGTTAGTTGGAGTCCCCAGGTAGCGGATATGGGGTGAAACGCTGAACAAAAGCCACTTTGTGCATCCCTAAGACGCAGATAGACCCAGGAAACGAACCTCCTGTTTCTGCTGCGCCGATTTACCGCATACTGTCCACGAAGACGTATTTACGCATGCGTGCGTTAGTATATTCTCGTTTACGCGGATTGTATTGTACGAGTCAATTTGGCTAAAAGGCAGCAATGAAGTGATGGAAAAGTATATCAGAGACGATTACGAGGGAGTCAATTTTAAAAAATAGGCTCCGTCTGCTCAGGGAGAGGCTGGAAAGCCACCTATGAGTGTACCCATCTCCGCTTTCAAAGCTTAGGAAACTATAAGTGGGTTTCAAACGCTAAACGCGGTAAAATAAACGGGCTTCGTGCTTCGTTCTCCTGACCCCGAAAGAACCTCTGCGACATCGTTGGATAGGACAAATACGGAGAGGTGTGCTACAATCTCCGGGCCATTCTAAACCGCTTAGATCGCACACGACTAAGGTAACGATCTACATGCAATGTACGCCCACCTGCATGTCAGTTCTCAATAGAAGACTTGATCACGTAGGCAAGAAGGACAAACTACGAGGTCGTCAGACTGGCTGAAACGAGAAGACGCCACTCACTCAATGCCGTCTATGACACCGGAGAAGAACTGTTCCTCCGAGCAAACGACAGAAGAGAAGTCAGCGGTGTTGACGTTCTCGTCAGCACGAGTTTGACCATTATAATCGATTCATTTAAACAACTAACAGCCAAACTGGCCCTGGTCATACACGGTAGAAGAGATGTGGATCAATGCCGCCTTTCATAGTTTTCGGCGTCTATGCACCGATATGAAGCTATGACTAGAATGAAGACCAATCCTTCTATATGAACGACGAGAATTTCTACAGAAATGACCATGCATTCTTCAAAATCATCGATGGAGACTTTAACGCTAAAAATGGATCTAAAAGAAGGTCTGAAGAACGTCACATTAGGACGCACGATGTAGAATGGAACGAGCATTATGAATGGCTATATGAGTTCATAATGATGACCACGACGTTTCACTTCTGCAATTCGAGAAGCCCTACTTTCAACGCTAGATGTAACAGTCTCCCAAGAGAGAGACTCCGTAACGGAATGGACCGCATCATAATAAATTGAAGTTCTTTTGCCTAGACGATGGCGCCGTTGTCCCAAAATTGGTCTTAGACCACCGCCTCCTTCGTGCAAGATTTTCTCACGGAAAGTAGAGAAAACCCTAAATTCAAAGAAACGAAGTCCCAAAACCACCATACACTTAGACCTATTATTCGACTCATGGAAAGATCCTGTTAATGATTACATCGACGAGGAATACGACCGGCTTATTAAACATCTTCACGTTAGGACTATGAGAGCCGCGAGTTCGAAAGCCATCAAGAGACGTCTGTATCCAAAAATACCTGGCCTGATACGCCAGCGTAGAATCGCACGAGCTACAGGCAACCGCGAACTCAAGTCCGAGCTTTTAAAACACTGCAAAAACGCAATGAAGGAAGATCTTAAATGGAGAACAGTAACAGTTATGGGCGTAATTGCAGAGGGTTGGTGCAGCTTTTTCAAAGTCCACCGAAACTTCGCCACCGGTCTGATGGTTAGAGGTCTCACGAAAAACCCAGAAAAGAAAAATAGTGCTCAACGAGTGCTAGAGCGAACGAAAACTATTGGAATATTCTTGCACGCACCGTAGAAATGGAAGGCTCACTGGTGTTCGCTCGAGTTACTCGACTATCACCTAGTTGTCAGATAACAGGGGGCAGTCAAAATTCTGTCTGATTTGTTTGTCGTTTTTTTTCAATTTAATTTAATCAAGTACGCTGTTAATGCAAACATACCGAAAGATGGATTTTTTAAGATGACTAACAAATATCGCCTTAGCCACTACCTTGCCACCCAAGTGTAACACATTATTTTTATACTGGCGAAAGTAATAGTGAGAATGTGCAGCACAGCACTTTATCCTCTAACCAGCAAAATAAGGCCAACAGTTACGAAGATTTTAGGACAGAAAATGATCCAGAGGATTTCAAACGAAGTGTTCAGCTGCTCGAATTTGCTATCACTTACGTCGCAAAGAAAGTGGGTAGGTCATCGCCCCACTTTCTTCCCATTTCGACCACTTCGTACATCTTCCACATTGTATCGAACCACAACGAAGCTCCGTGTATTCTATGATCCTGAAATCGTAGCGTCCCCCTAGAATTAAGCTTCTGGTGTTTATCAACCTCTCAGGGACTATTTCATCATGTATTGGTGACCGGCTGCATGTCAGGTCTATGTAATTATGTATAGCGACCCAATCACGTCATTGTTTCCCTCCTTGCGGAACATACTGGTATCAATTCGCCGACCAATAGCGATAGGAGGTTTGGCCCCACAGTGCAGGATCGAACCAGAGACCAATTCAGTGAGTACTGTAAGGCGCTTCTAATCACTGCGCCATACGTGTCCCGGTGTTGTAGTAGCCCATAACTATTCTATATTATTGAGTGCAATTATCCGAATGGTGAGGATTTCTCGAAATTATACTCCAACTATCGACAATTTCTCGACACAGCACTGCCTCGATACACCGCGAGTCATTGTAGAGGCCAGATATGCATTCAGTCGCCTCCAAACGATGCCCAATGTAGTCGAATGCATGGCGCATCTCTCATGGCTTGATCAACGTCGAGAGCCTTATCCTTTGTCCTCTTTATCGCAGGCTAGATTATTACGCGCCATCTATACGTCCTTTATAGCTTCTATAATAGAACAATGGTGGCGCGCATGCATTGGTAGAGATGCCTCTGTAATCCACTTGTGGATTATGGTTCTATTTCGCGCTCTGGACACGTCAAACCCTCCATCCTTCTGGAGCTGCTGATAGGTTTTTCTGGGAAGGAAATGGGAACTCGATATACTTTATCCTTTATGTTTTATCCTTTATATGACTTACATCAGCATGAATCTGTTAATCAAATAACAAAGCAGTATGATTACCTCAGTTGACATTCTTACTTCTAAAAATAACAGTGCCATTTCACAAAACTCCTTATTTGAGTAACGTGGAGCCAAGTGGACCTTAACCTACAATAACACCACTGTATACAAAGCTTGAAGAAGGCTGAAATGTGGAAATTTTTCCATGATGTTTTCCATAGTTACTAAAGATGTTTTCGCTTTTTTCACTAAGCACCTCTGATCGACGACAGCTGATCAGAGGTCTTAATAAAACTTCTCAGTAACACTTGTATCACATGTGAACCTCTTAATGATCAAGTGATTCAAACCTCTATTTGTCCCACTTACATTTCAGAGATGTCCACTGAAATTCGTTCGCTCGAAGAGCATCACATTTCTTTGAATTACAGAAAAACATTGGAACTTGATCTTTATCGACCTTTGTCGATTTTCTGTAGCACAACACACTTACCCTCTTCCAAATCTTTGCTGAATCTGAAGGTTTATAGAATCTCTTTAGGCGGAATATCGCCGTACGTATCCGATTGCTCTCCACGTTCTCTAATTTTCCAAAAGCTGCTCCGTAATAGAGGTCGTATGCTGGCTCCCATTCCAACACCAAATCGTTGTGATTAAAATAACATTTACTAAAAAGATCTAGTATGAGTAGGTGTGAAAGCAACGAGAACATGAAAAACCCGAGAAAAGAACACGAAATGATGGGGCCACAAATGCGCCTATATCGGAGGCTGACATGATTCAGCTTTTTATTAACCAGGCCAAAATTTCTATCCGCTCATCGTGTTTGAAGGGTCAACTAAACGCCATTGTTAGCATCGCTCCTCACTTGTCTCATCAACTTATGTTTCCTGGCGTAAGTCTGCGGTATGGGTATAGACATAACTGCACTTAGTTTCACTGAAAGACAGTAATCCTGTCAATCGCAGGTAGGTCCACATTCATTTTAACTTGCTAAAATCCAGCTTTTGTCAGTAGACTTCTACCACGGCGATAGTTCTTTTCCAGCCACACTATTTGGCCCCATAGTTGCCTGTGATCCACTGCGTTTTGCTTTCCCTTCAATTAGATTGTCGCATTGCTCTATTCAATCTTCACATTTTTTGAGCCTCCCCAATACAGTGCACACTGTTAATCAAGCATGAGAGCTAGTAAATTAAATGATTTACAACAATCAGGTCCTGCTTTAAAAACGTGGAATAAAGAGGACCACAGTGGAGGCTGAGATTTTTCCAGGAAACCTGCTGGAAGCATTTTTGTGGACAGGCGAGGAAGCTAACAAAAAATTTCTGAAATGAAATGTGGTGGTCACTTGGTAATTTCATGGCTATTCTTATCACATTGATAATCAATTTGTGCCGTGACAGCTCAGCTACGTATCAGTGCCTTTAAAAGAATGTTACTGTGACCAAGTTCAACCAATTGTCTTCTGATTTCTTGTATTTGTGCTTCTACCGTGAAACAATTAGCCCTCCTAAAAACGACTAAGATGGTTGGGAACGTGGATAAGGATAAGGATAAGGCTGTCGGAGTTGATCAATCCCTGAGGGATGTGCCATGCATTCTACTTCGTTAAGCATCGTTCGGAGGTGATTGGATACATATCTGGCCTTTACAATGATTCGAGGTGGCCTACCAATGTATGAAGTCAGTGTTGCTTTCCTCACAGACAAGTCTAGTAGCAATTTGCCGACCCCAGAGTGAGGAAAGACTTGGTTGACTATGGGCGCGCAGGGAACGATGCCATGTGTGTGTAGCACGCCGCCTCCGACCACTGCGCCACACACGCCTCTGGGAACGTGGATAACAGGGTGAAACACTGAGCTTCCGAAGACGATAAACGATCACCATTATTGACATCAGTTACAGAAGCGTTTGCCAACAAAAAAAACTGGTAATTTTGAAAGCAAGAACATAGGAGTGCTTGGGAATTTTGTAGCGAAATCTGGGCATTGATTACTAGAGCGGTAAATCTTAGTGAACTAAGCAATTGATGCATTGTAAGTTAAAGCAGATGAAGTGTGATAACGTGATAAACTACCAACTACAACGATTGGCTATTTTTTTCGGTGTCAGTCACTAAAATGCTCAGACTTTTTCCGAACCTTCAGGCTGAGATAAAAAAGACCGAAATAGGTTTCTCATAGGACATTGGAGTGCGTCGCATGGTTGTAGAATTTCTACTGTGATTGAGTGTTCGGCTGAATTCTCACTTGAGTAATTTCTCCAGTGCTTTTGCTGCATAGTGAACCACATCATGCCACTGGTCCTTCTTCACCATCACAAGGTACAACAGCTGAATTAGCTTCAAGTGATCGCCTTTTGAAAACCGAAACCCATTTGCCTCAACGAATCTGGAATTTTCGTTGTGCGTACGTCTACAGGTAACTCAGAGGTGATCGAAAATTGCCCTACTTTCTTAATGCAAGCATGTAATTCCTAAGTGCAGGTCGGTTTTCGTTCACGAGTACAGAAATCACAAGCCCGTGTTTGATGTGCTCGAAGTAATCGTCCAAGTAATTGGATAGTTGCTCATGATAAGGCAAAAGTACGAATTTCTTCTCATGACGCCCATATTTTCGTGCTTTGTCTCTTTCGACGTTTACGCCAGCATCTACCACCACGAACGACGGTTTCTGCAAAACGACATCTTTGTATGAGACTTCGTTCTTCGGACTTTAGAGAGAAACTTCGAATTTATAATAATTTTTCTAAACACACTAGCTAAAGAAACTACAGAAGAAGGGTAATCAAAGTTTACAGTCAGGTTGTTCAACAAAGCAAAACTAAATGTGTCCAACGGCTCAGTTTCAGCACGCTAGCTAAAGAAGAATTATACTAACCATCCGCTCCAAGAAGTCACACGGTTACTTCTCCAGCTTGCAGCGAAGACAACTAACAAATGAACCACACCTCATCTCCATTTCTAAATTCTTGATGTGTTTATTCATATAAATTGTTGATTATCACTATCTCTAAAGAAGTTTTGGGCGGAGCAACAACAGCATTATCTCTTTAAGTACTACAGAACCACAGAACGCTTAGAAATCTCTAGACGCAGAGGAAGCATATCGGTGACACTATAGGATAATAATGTAATTATAAAATCGAGGTAACCTGTAATTCCGATACTAAGCCTCAACATCGTTGTAGCATAAAATGTTCTTAGCTAATTTATTCGGATGACTTGTCTTCAAATATTGTGCAGATCCAGGCACTTCTTTCTTTCGATTCATTCTCTTGTTTATTTCGTATTTGTCATTCGAAAAGGCGTTTGAGTTTTCGTAGCAGATCCGCTGAGCAAGTATGGCCCTGCTACAACGTTCACAGACCTTCACCAGACGTAGTAAACAATCTTCATGGATCCGAAGAAGCTTTTCTCCGACAAGTTTGACACCAAGCCCCCGACCATGGAGGAGTAAGGAGAGGCCAGCTGGATGACGGCTAATCAGTGTGTAGCAGGTGCGCATACCACGAGGCACCTCTAGCTATTGGGCTTCCGCTGCCATGAAATATGGAGGTAGGAGACGGAAATGAGAATTAGAGTGAGAAATGAGAATATCCTTTTGGCACCTTCCTAAAGGGTGCTTCCATCATAGATTTTTTTGGGAAGATTGCCTTTGCTGGACACAAAATCGTGCAGTTTTACAACTCATGAGAATATCAAGCATAACATCGTATACTGATCGTGCAACCTCGTCACCTCAGTGCTACAATTTTGCACTTGATAAATGCCTTCGTTGTTTGAAAACTCAGGTTAACTGTGAACTGAAGTATCGCCTCCATAGAACAGGAAAGCAAGTCGTTCATAGCGAGTGTACTCAGGAAGCAACCCTTTCATTGCATGACTACTACCAGGTTAAAGAAAGCTCACCTGAGTGCTCGTTAATGGATTCCGATTTCAAAAGGATGTCAATGTCCATTGATGGCGAGAAGTGTGCTAAAGGAATACAGCTCCAGGAATAGATAACATCATGTGTAACTACATCTCTTTAACTAGTAGCGATCTTTGACGAACAAAACACCTAGTTCAGAGCCATTCGACAGAAGACGAGTGTCAGAGAGGTATTCGTAACAAGAATTCGATTCTTTCAGAAAGTTATCAAAGAAATTATCAGTTACGAACAATCTTTTGAAGCTAAGGAGATAGAAGTGGACGCGCTCTACAACCAGTTTGAGAAAGTAATCAACAACGAGAACTATTCAGCAAATTCGTTGTTGAAGACTTCAACGCCAGATTAGAAATGCCCAAAAAAGTGAATACAGGATATAGAAAATCAGAATAGGGAAACGAAATCAGAATGGAAACCGACTTGTAACACTCTTGCCCGCAACATGTCTCTTCCACGAAAGTTCGTTTTTCAAGTTAAGAGAAAATTGCCGATGGACATGGACTCCTAACGGCACGATTCATGCGGAGGTCGACAAAATTTCACAACTAAAGTGGCCCGTTTTTAACACTTCAGTAGCACCTTAATTCTATACTGGCTCTGATCACCGCTTTCTCCGTTCGAAGAATCGATTTAGACAAGCTAGAAATAAACTCATTTCATTATCCAGGAAAAATAAGAGAAGTACTGTATGGTGAGGATATTCTCAATAAAATGCTTACCTCATACAACTAGCAAACAAAGGAAGACACGACCGAGGAGTACGAGCTGCTTCTCAGAGAACTTAAAAATTTGCTGAACTCGCTTCGGTTCCTCAAAGAAGCGGACCGCACCTTCATTACAGTTACGGAGTGGCTCGAAAAGAGAAGGACACCGATGCCTGATCCTACGATCCTACTACTGTAACATTCCTAACACTGCTGATAATAAACGCCAGGTGTACAACACCTTTGCGGGATTTATATCGGTATAGACAAAGTCTGAAGCACTTAAAAAACCATCCAGTCTTGCGAAGTGTCGTCGAAATCTTCGCGACAATGTTTCGCTGTTCGCCTTGGTGAACGAAGAAGAAACTATCACTACATCCTACGAAGATAAAGAATTGATGACGAAGAGGTTCTATGCCATTCTTTTCCACTTTATAATCCCCGTGACTCCGAAATTTCCCCTGATGAAAACCCGCTCAGAATTCCAACCTCTAAAGTTCGAGTTGCAATGGAAATTGCAAAGAGAGGTACAACTCCACTACCCCATAATATCACTACTGCCTTCCTTAGAGATGGTGGAAACTAATAGGACGAAGACGCATTCATGAAGAACCAACGGCGTGAAGGTGAGCAAATCGAACTGCGTGCTTCTCTGATTACAGCAACCACCCGTATCGTAGACATTCAGTGAACATGGAAAGTAACACGAAGGAAGAATTAGAAATAAGAAGGACAGAAGCATGGATAGCATTCGAGCCACTCGAGAAATCCACCGATCAACTAACGGACCCAAACTCTACGCTCATCTTCACGATCTAATAGTACTCCCAGCACTCTGGGATGCAGCATAAACGTTTGCTGATTCTTCAGCCGCGTCTGCGCAACACTCACAGAACACCTGAACGATGTCATCTGAAATTAAACGGTACTCACAACGTCCAAACTGAATGCGTAGCCCATATATTCGAAACACTCGAAACGATGGGTGGACTTGTTTGTGGCTAACGTAAACCAAATGCACTGGCACATGGCAACAATATCAAAATTACGGAAGAGGCCTCGCCCATGTCACCATTTTCGTAGCAGACCGCCACCACTGATATTGATTACGCGAGGGAGAAACAGATGGAAATTATGGTCCCCACACCACCCGTGAAGATAGGCCGTCCAAGTATCCAATTGATTAAAAAGGCATGCGTATTGATTAAAAATTCATATGAGCCTTGCTTTGTTAATTACATCGTCATTCTAACAGAAATGGCGGTGAAGAAGTAACGATAATTAAGAAACATAAATAAGGATGGAAAGGACAAAATATGAACAAATCGAAAAAAAAACCTAGCTCTTGAGAAACCCACAGTGTAGTGGAACGCGATTTGAAACGGTTGATTCCATCGCTAATCTCGTAGATGAAGCCATAAGCTGAATGAACATGGAAAATTTTACAGAGAACTAGAGTGAAATAAACGAGCGGTGTAGACCGCGTTTCGGCCTCTTGAGATGCCATGGGTCGACTTACGAGCGCAAAAATCTACGCTCATCCTTTTGGGTCAGTGGTGCTTTAAGTGCTACACTTTGGAGTCTAGACGTATGAAAAAACTTCGAAGGGTTTTCGGAAAATTTATGTACCACTCGCTAAGCTTGTTCTGGTTCATAGTAGATGAATATTACTTTATCGAGCCGAATCGTACGATTTGGATCGTGGAAAGATATTTCGCTTTTGAGACCCATCGAAGGTGAAGCAGATATATGGATCATATGATGAGAAAATTCCAGGACACATTAAGTTATATGAGAGGAACAGCGAGTGTACTCAAGAGGATACAATCGGCTGCTAGAGTAATCACTCATAGAGTACATGGACGTGTTAGTTACTCATGTCAGCATGATGTTTTGGATGTTTTGGTAAATGGAAACGATACAGGAGTCATAGAAACGTACTAACTTGCGTCATCATGTTCGAAGTTGACGCGCCTTATGAGATGAATGTGATGAAAGACAACGAACAGAGTGCTTGCGGCCGGCTCAATCACAAAGAAGAGCCGTGCAATTTTCCAAGTAGGTAAGAAAGAAATTTCCAATTCAAGGGCCAGTTCTTTGGTTTTTGGATTGTTAAGCCAACACCAGTTTGATGAAGATGTCTACTTGACTAAGGTTTCGGCGTCGACGAAAAAAAAAATTTCTTTTTGGTATTTAGTGCCACACAAATAGTAGAAGATGGCTAGAACACAAAAATGCATTAGCACTCATAGATACAAATTATCATTGTTTTGAAGTTTAATCGACGATGTTATCTTCTACATTTGTTAGTTATCCTCAGGGTAAGCGGTTGGGACGATGACCGTTCCAGCAGATGTGAGTATATTTGTTTTACTGGTGTATAAGCGAATGTAAGATTCGAGGCGCTCCATCTCGAAAGTTATGCCGTGGAGTAAATATATAATTTTGTCATTTTCATTTTTACTTATTTGCATGAAAGACAATACATATTGTGGGTATCCCAGCGCTTTTCCCACTCGGTTCGTTTCCTCGCCACGAAGCTCTTGTCTATGGAATCGGTTGTCACTTGCAGACGTCGTCTACTTCATGAATGCTCGTTCAGTGTAAATAACTTTAATATAAGCGTTCTGAACTGTTCACTACACGATGCCGCCGACCTTTACGATTATTTAACACAAAAATCTGGTACCTAATTGCTAACTTTAAAAGAACAAGAAGCTTGACCGGCCCGAGGCGAACAAGCAACCACGAGTGTGTTTCATGGAGTTTCTTCTTATTGCACTTCCAGCACCCAACCTGTTACTTATGGTAAATAATAACGAATAAGTTGAGCTGGAATCCATCATCGCCATATTCTACTAGCATTCACAATGAAGAGCTTATTCATGTTATTTACTGCTCATTAAATCAAAGGCTGATGGCACTGTAAAGGTACAAATACAAAATTGTGGTTTTTGGTAACGCACGCAAGGATCCTCATTTCTCGCATCGTGGACGATTGGGTTATTCACCGTAGACACGTTGACGTCAAAGCTTTCATTTGCATTCTTATTAGAACATCTCGCATTGGTCTGTACAATATCATCCAACTTTTCGGATAGTAAAATGCTTCTTTATCGTGATAACTCAAGCTCAAAAATGCACTTTGCAGGTTCGTTTAAAAACCCAAGAAGGTGCAAACCACGAAGAAGAATTCGATGGTGATGAATCGATTTCGGTATTATATTCATTGTCTGTATGAAACTCATTACGCAGAAATCGCTAACAGACCTCCAATTGCCTTTTCGAGCTCTTTCTTCTATCTCAAGTATCTTAGAATCTTAAAATCTGCGTTTATTAATAGGAGTTCTCAAACACATACTCTTTCTCCCAGCAATTTTTCTCACGGGATAAAACAGAGGTTGTTCTGTATGGTGGTTGTGTAATAAAAATAATCATATTTCTATGCAATCACATCTACGACTTCTAGACAGAGCAAATAGAACTTGCAACTAGTCTTCTACCGGTACAAAATTTCTACTCGTTAATCCCGCGAAGGAAAAAAAGCGTGACCGATCTATGATAGTTGTTTTTCCACTGTCAGTTAAATTTCTATTTCATCGAGTGGTGAATTCGTTCTTCGCCAAAAGTGGAGCACTACCAGAGTTGAAGAGGAAGTGAGACTTGGTGGAACGGGGGTTTATCCAGTCGGTTGCCTTTGAGGTGGATCTCAACGATGTGGTGCATGATGACCTGATTGGAGACTTGCTTATTCGATTTATGAGTTCTCCGCTCATCGACGATCCTTATTGGGTTAAGAACGGAGCTAACAGGTGACGATCCCCACTGTTTTTATGGAACTTAAAAACAAAAGGAATTACCAGTTCTTTTCCCATTGCAGAAATATGCCTGCACCGGCTTATTTGGACTTTACCATCACCTACGATGAAATCGTTCACTTATGTACGCTAGCTTCTGCGTCATTCCTGAAACAACCAGCATTGATACAAATCGATAAGTTGGTTGCATGATTTCTATGTGTCCTTGACACATTTTTAACTTTTCTGAGCTAACATTTGTGTCAAAATAATGGCAGAAAGTAGAAGTGAACTGAAAACCTTGCGCGGATTGTGGATAACCTGATCAATGAAGTGGAAGCAATCCATAAACTACAAGTTGGAGATTCCGATTTCTTTGGATATGTCTGCCTTCTACACAACTTTAGAAGGAAGAGAAATAGCAATAATCCCGTTTTTCTAAACCTCTAGCTCTGGATGTTAAGTGATATTAGTTAGCACAAAATCTACCAAGAATCAAATCGGGTTAGCTTCACGGGCTGATTTCTACATTTTTCTCTAAACTGTTCGTCCTAGGTGTCTTTCCATGTTCCAAAGGAATTTCAAATCCTGAAATTTTTACGTTCCATTATCCGGTCCTAAGTAGAATTTGTAAGTTAAGTTTTTCCGTCAAAAGGCAAAGAAAATCATTGTTCTGTACAACCCATTTTCTGCTGAACTCTCCCGAATGCTGGAGCAAAATGTCTTCAGTAGTCTTTAAAATGAAATGTTAGATCGTTAGGCAAACCTTCTCAGAACATAGAGCACAATATAACTTCAATGATGCTGAGATATTTGCAAAACTCCGTACCGCAGGTATCAGCGATAGGGAGCGAACGTGCTATTGTCCTTTCCAGGGAGTAACGCGCTCACCACCGCACCATGCGGGTCCTTCGTTTCACCTCTCTCAGCTGCCTCTGTTGATATCTGCCATCAGCAATCACCCGTCTGCGGGATTGATCTGGGGAGCACATATCCGCATTGAACCCAGTTAAGCTGAGGCTTTAGTTGTAATCACAATTTTAACCGTTTTATTTACTCTTTTTAATAGCAGGGTATTTTGCGAAATATAACTTCAGTGATGCTGAGATATTTGCAGAACTCCGTACCGCAGGTGTCTGCAGTGAGAAACGAACGCGCTATTGTCCTTTCCGGGGAGTAACACGTTCACCACCACACCATGCGGGTTCATCGTTTCGCCTGTCTCTTGCAAATATCTCAGCGTCTGCAGTTATAAGCTGCAATGTGCTCTACAATTAAAAAGAGTAGGTAGTAAATAAAACGGTTAAGATAGAGCACAATACTCTAAAAGATTCTTTAGGTTGAAGGTGCTGTCGTTGCGAAAAAGTTGACAAGCTATTACTGCTTTCCTTAGCACTCTCACGAAGAGTGACACCTATACGTATCATAATGGCCGCGCGGGTGTGGCCATTAAGACACCTCTAGGTCTCATTTTCAGTCCGGCATAGTTTTTGCTATCAGTTGATAGCACATAGAACACAGATGTTGTGTTGGGGGTTGGTCGGGGACCAACAGGTCGGGGAAACTCGGAAACTCCATTCTACACTTCTGCACTATACAAAAAGCCGTTCTCCGAACGAGTTCATCAGCCAGAAATTTAGTTGACTACTACTTCAACTCTAATTGCTATAGCAAAAAATATTTGTCGCACACAGAGAGTGGGTATAAAAATACTAAGATATAAATCCATGAGTTGCAAAACACTTAGAAATGCTGACGGTAATGTGCTGATACGATGGACCGCAATAACATAGCACCACAAATAGCATCCATACGCATAGAAGGGTAGAGAAAAAAGAGCAAAGCTTTTCTATAACCCATTTATGTTTTCAACCCATGAAGCCCTCTAGTTATCAAGGCTTTTCTTGATTTTCAAAAAGTCGGCAAGTCTATAAAGACTGTCCATAAAGAATTGGACGTCGCCCAGTCCGCAACAAACTCAAGATTAAGTTTCGTTGCAACAACGTTTAGGAAACCATGAAAAAGCTTCCATTCTCGCCATTTCAATGACGAGAATTTTCCTTCGTTACCACAACCACTAATGGCGTATTTTTGTCACAATTTGTCCAGTGTGACTTCCATCATCATATACTTAGGGTTTTCAAATACCTATTTCAGAGAAGATCTTCCTCTTCACATTGTGGCAGACTTGCACGGATGCCTTACTCAAGTGTTGCGACTGTTCAGATATTGCGGTTCTCCACACAAGGAAACATTCCTTTTTCTAGGAGACTATGTTGATAGGGGAGTCCAGGTACAGAAATGGCAACCTGTGCAACAGATGTGTCAGGTGTTTCCGAAGACTTTCGTGTCTATAATAATGAACGTTGATTCAGGGTGTGGAACTCATTACTCTCCTGTTCTGCCTAAAAGTTCGCTATCCCACTCAGGTTGACTTTTATTCCTTTTTTATTGACATATTAATAGAACAAAATATAAACAGTTCAGCTTCAACAAAACCCTCAAGATACCTTCGTTTCCATGAAGCCTCAGTGCTTGAATGTATATCTGTTCTTTACAATAAACTGTAGTGGTCTATCGATGTATCAAGCCAGTGCTGCCGTTATCCCGCACATGTTTGGTTTCAATTTTCTTACCCCAAAAAGATATAGAACTTCGTTAGAGCAATAGGAGCTCATACCAACGACCATGTTTTTATTCCATAACATCCCTAACCACTGCGTTATTCGCGCTCGCTATTGCCCTACTCTAGAATTCGAATTATTCATCGGAATTTAAATTTTTTGACTTACCAGCTATCATTTCATAAAGGTTTACACACTTATTTAGGTTTACCTACTTCGTGGTAATCATGAAGACGCTAACACTACCCTCAATTACGGCTTTTTTGATGAATGCCTTTTTAAGTGGCCCATACTAGGTAGCAACGATCGAAACGGTGACAAGGTTAGCACATATATTTAACTCTATCACAAAAAATGGCCTTCTATTTTCGATATGGCGATTGTTCTTGTCTGTTTTCAACTGCATGCCCGTCGCAGCCATCGTCGCCGGCACAATCTTCTGCGCACATGGAGGAATATCGCCATTTATTAAAAGTCTTGAAGACATAAATAAGGTGTGGTCATGTTATTTGATGCTTCCTAACTCAGAGGATATTTCGGTAACTTCCAGATAAAACGCCCATCAGTGGTTCCGGCATACGGCATCGGATGCGACCTACTCTGGTCAGACCCGTCTACACTTGGAGATGGTTGGATTCTAAGCCATCGTGGTAGGAACCATACTGTTATTTGGAAAATAAGGAAATTCTGGTTCATAAAAGTAATGGCGAAGAAGAACTACTGTTGCCGCACCATGCGCTTCGCGCTTCTGTATAACTTTTTGCGAGGGTTATCTGAGCAGTGAAGAAAGCAACGTTGTTAAATATTTCGATGTATTCTAAGCTTCACGAGTGTGGCCCAGTGATTAGAGGCGCCCTGCAACACACACATGGAATCGATCCCCGCACCCATAGCCCACGAAACTTTCCAGCCCTCCGGGGTCGGCAAATTGGTACCAGACGTGTCCGCGAGGGTAGCAGCAGTGGCTCGATACATTGGTAGGCCACTGCTAGTCATTGTAAAGGCCAGATATGCATTCAATCACCTCCAAGCGATGCTTAATGAAGTCGATTGCGTGGCGCATCCCTCAGGGATTGATCAACACTGAGAGCTTTATCCTTTTTATTCCAAACTTCATTATGAGAAACTAACTAGGTATCTCATTCCTGTTTGGACAAAAGGCCGTCGACGAGTTCTGTCTTAAGCACAATGTCGATATTATTTTACGTGGACATCAAATCAACAACGAGGTTGCCATTTATGCCACATCTTTTACCACATTTTCCTCGACGAATGAGCATATTTTTTAAGTAAAGCCTCGTCTTCAAAGACGTTGTTTTTCCAGATGTACAAGAATGGCTACCGAATATCATTCGATGGACGACTGGTTACTTTGTTCAGCGCACCGAATTATATGAATTACAAGAATAATTCTTGTATCGTCACAGTATCAGAACGTGTGAATTATTTCTGGCATTCCTTAGAAAGCGTTTTATTACAAATCCAAACATAGGAAAATGTAACAACAGAAAGGAGAAGCTAGTAAGTAGAAAACAAGCGATTGTCGACTGTTTAGGCTACAATCATGGCGCAGTCGCCGTAAGCAATCAATCATAATGACGACGCTGTTGGTCCCAGCAATACGTCAATTTTATACTGCGCAAACGGATTAGATGTAGAAAATATAAGGAGAATGGACTAATACACTTGAACTTAGCGAAATTGCAACTCCGAGGAGGCGACAAACTCAGCGCAGAATTAGATTTACATACACAAAGAAAGTTATCAATTCACTCTGATCGAAAGCTATCCAGGTCTAGCCAAGGACATCCTACTCATTATGTAGAGACAGTTAGTGACCTCCATGAAACTTGTGGCCACAATCTTCTTGTTTTAATACACGAAAATCATTGCACACGTCTACTTTTGGTTTATACTTGATGCTATCAATTACATGCTGTCAACAAAGTGATAAGTGGAGGAATGCCGATAATAGAGCTCCTTCTTCATTAACCTTATTGTATTTATGAGTAGCATTCTCAAGGAAGGCGTTGAAAGCTTTCACTGAGGCGCCGTCATCTTGCCTAATTGTTCTTCTATCGTTTGTTTAACGTTATTCGAATATAATGTCGGAACTCTGGTTGTGTAAATTTTGTTAAAGCACGTGAAAAATGCTTATCCCCTATCGCGAGTATCATTTGAGGTAAAGTTCTAACGTTGATACACCAGTGAGTTTAAGAGTTATTGAGATGCAGCAAAAATTTCCGTGCCAAAACGAGCAGATGAACATCAGCTCAGAACCATGACATTTTTTCCAGAGCCCTTTCAATTACTCCACAAAGTTCCCCTTATGCAAGGATATTTTTGAAAAAGTATAACCTTCATGTAAAAATAGATGCCCTTGAAGGGTTACCGAATTAGGAAATTATTTCAGATAAATCCCTACTTATCTTAGCTGTTCTACAAATTTCTTCTGCATAACTAGCCACTTAGCGTCATTTCTATCTCATTTCATGTTTCATTAAGAATTTGTCGGTATTTCTAACAACTGGATTCATAGTTGATTTGCCACTTTTATACGTTGTTTTTAGCTTAATTTGAAATTCACTGTCTTCCGTTGTCGCTACTACCAAATTGGAAAAAAGGTCTCGATTTTTTAATTTGCTTTTGTTTCTCATAACATGCGGGCGTACTTTGTGGATTTAAGTGGTTTATAATTTTTTCATTTTTTTCTTTTATTTTATTTGACCCGTCTTCACGTCTGTTGTGCGGATCCCAGGACTTCTCACATCCAATTCGTTTCCTCACATCCATTGACCACCAACCTCTCCAAGTTTTACGTGTGGCTTCGGTTCCTGCTTGAGGGTTTTCATTCTCATCTTGAATGTCGTAGAATGCTGGTGGATCGATTCTCCCTGGAGTCCTGAGATAGCCGGACTGCAACATTCCCAATTGGATTGCAGAGAGTGATTTTTCCCCAGAGAAGTCCGGTACCAATTTTCCAACACCGGAGGACTGAGAGGCTTGATTGCCTCGTAGCGGAATCGAACTAACACCGGCTCGTGATGACGAACATCACTACCACAGTGCTATTCACCCCTTTGGTAGTTTAGTTTGGTCTGATGGTTTTGTTTAGTGGTTTATAAAGGAAATAAAACAACACAATTTAGACTACAAATCAGAAAGAGAAAAGCCAAAAGAAGAATATTAATAAAGGGGATGAAGAGGAAGAACATGTGAGTTATCCGAATGCATAAACTTGCTCTGAATTGATTATTGAATTTTTCACTTAAAAGCGCAGAAATAAGAGCTAAACCTTAGTTTGAGAGAGTAGTAGCACATTGACGTGAACTATGAGTCCCCGTAAAGGGTAATATCGCGTTCGTTCCCCACCGCAGACATCAACGGTCAGGAGTTTTGCAAATATCTCAGCACCATTATCGTTATATTCCACATAATATCCAGCTATTAAAAAAGAATAAGCATTAAGTAGAAATTGGCGTCGTTGAGAAATAGTAACACAACTGAACAATCAGTAGCAATCCATATATGGTATTCATGGAATAGACCATGAAACTTTTAGAGAATATTCTTCACAAGTTTCGTAGATGGCTACCTTTCTTAGGCGGAATGATCGTTTACAAGATTCTCCACTACTAAGGAAATAGTTCTGAAGGGATGGCATACACGCAGCATTCGCAACATCGTACTCAGAGCAAACCGGCTATGTTGTTAACTATCTAGCACAACAGCTGTGCTTATCACAATGTTCTCGATCGGAAGTAAGAAATAAGAAAACAGTCAGAGGAAGACTTTCGACAGTGGAGATTTCGTTGTCGAGCTCAGGAACTGCGCAATAAAAAGACCTAAAAGTCCCTTATAATCTTCACAAACGATAAAAGAGTAAAGCGTGTAGCGTTGATCTGTTCTTGAGGAACGTGCCATGCAATCAACTTCATCAGGCATCCTTAAAGGTGACTGAATGCATATCTGACCTATACAACAACTTGTGGTGGTCTCATGATGTTCACGTCAGAGCTGCTATCTTATAGGCAAGTTTCGTAGCAACTTGCCGACCCCGGAGTACTGTACAGTTCAGCAAGGACAACGGAACCAACCGACGACCATGTGTGTATTGCAGGGCAACTCTAACCACTGCACTACACGAACCCTCGCAAACTTCATATTACAGCGAAAAGCGGTAAAAATGCCAGTTTAACAAGTGACGCCGAACGTTACTTGAGTACAATCGATTTGATGTAGGAAAAATGGGTGCTTTCAACTTTGGACCAGCAAATCTCAGCTCGTTTTGACCTATGTAGATTGAACTTAGTTGGAGTAAGATCCATTAGATTCCACGGATCTTTAGTAACCGGAAACAACCACTCCTATTTCTAGGAAAAGAAGAAGTGATTTTCTGGAGTCTCCGAAACGTCTTCTTTCAATCTTAACCTTTTTATTTACTGCCTATTCTTTTTAACGGCAGGGTATTTGCGAAATATAACTACTATAATGCTGAGATGTTTGCAAAACTCTGGACCGCAGGTGTCTGCGGTGGAGAACGAACGCGCTATGGTCCTTTCCGGGGAGTAACAGGTTCACCACCACACCGCACGGGTCCTTCGTTTCGCCTGTCTCTTCGCTGATTCTATCAATCTTTTGCCATCAGCAATCACCCGTCAACTGGATTGATCTGAGGAGCCCAAATCGGCATTGAACCCAGTTAAGCTGAGGCTATAGTTATAATCACAGTCTTAACCTTTTTATTTACTGCCTATTCTTTTTGAAGGTAGGGTATTTGCGAAATATATAAATATAAAGTAAATATAAAGATCGATAGAAGTAGCTGAGAGACAGACGAAACGAAGGACCCACATGGTGTGGTGGTGAACGCGTTACTCCCCGGAAAAGACAGTAGCGCGTTCGTTCTCCACCGCAGACACCTGCGGTCCAGAGTTTTGCAAACATCTCAGCATTATAGTAGTTATATTTCGCAAATACGTCTTTTTCAATTTTTCTGCATCGATGTTTGTATTTCGAACATAAAAACGACTGAATAAGCGTGATTACACCTAGTAAGACGCGATAATGTTCTTAAAATATCGTTGGTTTTTCGACTACCGCGATTGATTTTTTGACTATAAGGGCTACCTACAAAAGGTTCCCTCATAAAAAAGGTGCGACTGATCTCCGTGTGGGGCAACCTTAAGTGAGATCCAGGAGACATCTACTTTCATCTCAAAAAAGCTGTTTCTGATCGAAATGATGTTCAGTAGCTTGCAAGCGGGTTGGTAGCAAAACGGAGGTGATTCTTATTACTAACCTTCCCCTAACTGAATTTCTCCTTGGAAATTCCTACTTGCTTATTAGGTACTTTTGTCCTCTTGGAAACCTACGCGACGAAATGAACACACCTCTTTATATCGCAGCCTAACACTCCGAGACAGCATCTGTTCCACACGCACTACTAGTTCGCTTGAGCGTAGTAATAAGATAAAAGATAACAAGAGATATAGACAAAACAAAAACCATGTAAAAAAACGATAAGAATGTCAAAAAATTCAATTAGCCCCTGTATCATCTATCGCCCCCATAATGCTCAGTGACTCCGGCGTGTGCAAGTAAAGATTCCATTTCTCCCTGTCGCGTGCAAGAGTATCCCAGTGGGTTCTGCTCGCTTTAGCGACTCTTTAAGCATCATTTCTTTTAAGGTTTTCGTGAAAAACTCTGACCATAGGGCGTCGATTCTTCCTGCAGTATGTTTGACATTCCGAGGAACTTAGCCACTTACGACTTCTGTCCGTTTGTACGCATTGTGTCCGGCCCATCTTATTCCAGCGCATTGAACGGCGTCAATGATTTCTGATCGTTGACGTAGTTTGGAGCTTCGGAACCCTTCCATCACTTGTGTGACATGGGACACTCCTAGCACCATCCTTTCTACTGCACGTTTAAAAACGCTGAGTGGTGCTGCATCCTTCTTAGGCAGCTACCAGGTTCCTGGCACATACGTTAAAGACAAGAAGAATCGTGGAGTCCAAAGGGTCAACGCGAAGTCGGATGTTCTCATCAATACATTCTCGATGCTCTTGAAAGCCCTCCAAGATACTTCCTTCCTCCTGCTCAATCTGGAGCTGAGTTGTTCACCATATGGATTTCTCCATCTACATAGAGGTAACTGAAGTATTTGGAAATATTGCTCCTTTGAGCGTGAATGGGGTATGCGTAACCAATCCTTTCGAGATTTCGTCGAAGACCAATCTTTCCACAGGCTTTATCAAAATCGGCAAGCATACCTTCCACTTGGTTAATGTCTGGTGTTATAAGCACGATGTAATCAGTAAAGCGAAGATGATGTAATTGCCGACCATCGATTTTCACCCCCATGTTGTTCCATTCCAGTGTTCGCACGTTGTTCTCGAGGGTGGCTGTAAATAGTCTTAGTGAGATGGCCTCGCTTTGCTTAACCCCTCTTCTAACGTTGATATCAATATCGTCGTAGAATGGTGAAAT